CAGAGCTCGCAGGATGTTGCAGCCGGCCAAGGGCTGTGTTTATGTTGATAACATTACAAGTATTTCCTCTCCGTTTCCGAAACCCGGCAGGGGGAGGGAGCCGAGGGGGAAGGGAGACTCGGGTTTCTCCAGCTTTAGGGGTAGGACTCTGGAGGCCTTTTTTTTAAGTTAAGGAGCGGGGTAAGGAGCGAACCGCTGGCGTTTGTGGATGCTGCTGTTTGGGGACAGGGAGTGTTCGAACGGCAGGGGTGGGTTGGGAGGTGGGAGCCGGGAGCGGGGCTGGCACAGCCCTCCCCTCTGCCTGCTCCGGATCCGGTTTTTAAGGTGATAAAGCAGCTCTGGCAGCTGATGGCCGGTCACAGGCGCAGCTCCCGGGGTTTTTTGGGGGATGCTCCTCCCAGCGTCCTGTTTCTTTTTTGACAGTTGCAGTAATAAAGCCGTAAAAACTCGGGATCTGCACGGACAGCCTGCAACCAGCCTTCCTCTGGAAAGCAGGGCAAGGCTTGGGGAAAATCCAGTATTATCTCCCCTTTCCTCCCCCTGCAATCCACTCACGGATCGATGAACCTATTAAATGTTGTATCCAGGGGGATTTAAAGGCAGGATCTGCCTGCCCACGGGTGTAATCCCAGGAAGGAGGAGCCCTCTTCGGTGTTGGGCTCAGTGAGCTTAAGGGTCTTTTCCAACCTAAGTGATTCCGTGATCATCCCACCGTCCCAAAGGGCTTTTGCATGTCCTGTAGCTCTCATCCACGTAGCAATCATGGTCGTGGAAATAAGCCCAGGCTCTTTTTTGTGGGTTACTTCCCTGTAACAGAGGGCAGAAATAAGGGGAAATTCACAGCTTTTCCTGCTTTCCTCCCCATCCTCCGTGTCCTGCTTTGATACCAAGGGAAAATGTGAGGATGTGGTGAAGGTCTGGCACAGGTTGCCCAGAGCTGGAAGGCAAATGGGATGAACAGGATCCCAAAATGAATGGGGATCCTAAATTAATGGGATGTCAAATGAATGGGATTCCAGATGAACGGGGACACTGAGTGAATGGGATCCCAAAAGAGTGAGGATTCTAAATGAGGGGGAACTCTTGTTCTGAGAAATAAGTTGTGGGAAGAGAAAGGAGCCACATCCACCTACATAAACGGCATTTCTGTACAAATACTCATCAAAACATGGTAAATGGTCACTTCTTTCCCTGGTGGTGCTTGCACAAGAGTCCAGACTTTCCCTTTCCCTTGCCATTGTTTTCCTGCTGTGGCAGGGATGGGTTCCCAGCGAGGGAAGTGGTTGCAGTGATGAGACCTTGGTGCTTTCACCAGCCCTTGTGAGGTTTTCAGAGCCTCTCAGAGCCATCATTTATGTCCTCTGGAGATTCAGTGTGGGCTTAACTTCCTCCTGCCTTTGGAATGGTTTGGGTTGGAAGGGACCTGAAAGCTCATCTCATTCCAACCCCCCTGCCATGGGCAGGGACACCTCCCCCTAGCCCAGGTTGCTCCAACCTGGCCTTGGACACTTCCAGGGATCCAGGTGCAGCCACAGCTTCTCTGGGCAACCTGTGCCAGGGCCTCCCCACCCTCACAGGGAAGAATTCCTTCATTAAAAACATCAGGTTTTCTCTCCAAGGCCAAACCACTTTAGACCAAGCACATCTCAGACTCCGGTTGTCCAAGCTGAATGGGGTGTGTTAATCACCAGGAGTGGGACATGGCATCAAACCATCATGGTTGTGGCTTTTCCCAACATGCCAGACCTCGGGGAGGCATTGCAGGGCCAGTCCTGCCCTCAGCAGTGCCAGGAGGAGCAAATCAGTTCAAATTCAAGCAGACAGAGATTCTAACTGGTGATGAAACCCTCTGGAAGGGGTTTCATCTCTGCTCACGCCAGTGCGACCCTTGGAGAAAGCCCTGCCCTGCTTGCAGCAGCCAGGGCTGGCCGTGGAGGGAGCCCAAGGAGAGCTCTTATCTCCAGAGCTCGGTTTCCTTCTGGTTCAGAGTTTGTCTGACCTTTTGGTCCACTGAGTAAGGCCGATTTTTTGCCAGGTTTGCTTTCAGAGGAGGGGAGGAAAAACATGCAAAGTGGGTGGTGCTGGTGGGGAGGATGCTCCCGGGTGGGGTGGGAGGATCTTGTGTTCCTGGTACCGTTTCCAGCGCGTGGATGACTTCAGCGTTGTCCTCCTGCCCGGAGTTTGGGATGGGCCTGGATGGAGCAGATTTAAATAAATAGAGCAAGCACAAAACAACACGAGATGTATTGCAGGGGGGAGGGTTAGACCGTGCAGAGGGAATAAAACCCTTCCTTGGCAGCCTGTCAAGCTGACTTGGCAGCGAGATCTCACAGCCTTTTCTCCCAGGAGATCCTGGAGATGCAACTGGGCCCGTGACGAAAGCCTGAGGGACGGGAGAGCTGAGCGGCAGCTGCTGGCCTGTGGCACGGACCAGAGCTGTCCCTGAGCCCTCTCCAGGCTCGGAGCAGAGGCAAAGATGTTGGCCCATCCTTGGGAGGCCCCAGGGCCGTGTGCTGGTCTGGGGCTTTGGCAGCTCCGGGCTCTGCTCTGGCCAGCACGGTGACGTCTCCCATCTCCCCGTTGCTTGCCTGAGCCTCTGCATCCGTAGGTGTTTGGGAGGAGATGATGATAACCATAGCCCATTTCTCAGGAGCTTTCTGAGGTCTCCAGAGGGAAGAAATCACTGTAAAAAAACCTTGTATTTTAAAGGGCTTTACTGATGTCATCGTCCTGTAATTTATCTGGACGTTTCCTGGGAAGGACGTACAGTAAGAGTGTGTGGCTCATCATCCTGGATTATTTGTGGGGTTTTTTTCATCTGCATGGGCAGGGAGTCCTACAGGGAGCTGAGAGTGGCCTTGTGCAGGTGCTCTGCCCCTGACCAGGAACATTCAGGGTGTCAGGGGCAATCAGGGACACTGACCTCTCCTTCATCCCTGCCTCCAGTTCTGGGGCATTTGGGACCAAGGCTCTTTGCCACAGTCTTCACATGTATTGGGTTTGAGTTTGCTCTAATTACAGTCACTTGCAGACCATTTTATGAACAATTTATTAGTTTTCTTCAAGACCAGATCCTTGTCTTTAGTGCTCAGCTTGTTCCTCTCGTGCTGTCCCACAGTTCACCCATTCCCTGCTTCGTCCCTGGTCACCTTTACTGCTCCACCAGACTGGGATCTCTCCCCCTGGGGACTTATGAACATACCCACAAATCCTTCCCATCCACACCCTGCAGGGACTCCAGCCACATCTTCACTCCTCCCTTCCAGCTCTACAAGATGCCCAGCAGCACCTCCACTCTGAATTATTTTGGGATGACGTTTCATGAGGGTTTTAAGTAACTGTTCCCTGCTTTCCTCTCCAGGTCAACATGGATTTGTGGTTCTTTCTCCTCTTGCTCGGAAGTGGCCTGATAAGTGTAGGTGCTAACAACGTCACAACAGGTAAGCTGTGTTCCTGTCTCCTCTCTTTTATCCCATCTTCAGGGTCAAAGGAGTAAGAGCTCATGTGCTCAGTGTCTTACTCCTCCTGCCCTCCATGGAACTGTAATGTAAAGTGTTGGAAAGAGGGTGATGGGCTGCAGGTGCTCCTAGGGGGACCCGCAGGTTTTACCTCTGGCAAATGTTGATCCTCACTTCCAGGGGCTCTGATGTTTGTGCCTCCTTGATACCATAACACCTGTACTTGCTTCTGTAAGTTTACATCTGCTGTGCAGAGCATTCCCTGTCCTGCACTCGGGATCTGTCGGTTGTTTTATCCCTGTGGTTACAGTCACAAGAATCTCCAGCGTCTGAACCCTCCACCGTCACAGGAAAGAATCTCACGGAGATTCCCCTTGTGCTTTTCCCCTCTCAGGGCCACCCACAACAGTGCCCACCTCCCCCAGGAGCTCCACCAAAGCTCCTACAGCAGGTCCTGAGGATGGGACTACGACGAGCTCCAGCAGGCTCAACGTGAGCACTCCGGGGACTGTTTCTACCGTGGCGTCGAAGCCACTTCCAACCACGGCTGCCAGGACCTCCCCCAACGCCACCACCGGCAGCCTCAACGCCTCCTCCACCCTGAGGACCACCGTGCCTGTGCCTCCAGCCACCTCCCTGCTCCCCAGCGCGGCTCCCTCTGCCCCACACACCGCTGTCCCCAGCACGGAAGCGGAGACGACGGAGAGGAATTCCAGTATGGTGGTGACAACACAGGAGACCTCTTCTGCCTCCCACAACGGTGAGGCCACCCCCTCCACCCCTGCCTCTCCAGGCCACCCGGCCTCTGGGTTTGAGTCTTCGCTCTTCTTTTGTTTTGCTGGACAAAACGGAGCGAGAAAACGCTTTTGGGGCAAATTCTGTGGTTTGGGCCACGATCATTTGGTGAAAGGTGTCCCTGCCTGTGGCAGGGGGGGTTGAAGCCTCTGAGTTGCAACAGCAGGATAGCAGTGCCTGCTAGATCTTATAGCAAGAGCCTTGGCAGTGTGGGATTTAGTGGAAAAACAGGAATTGGTAGCTCTACTTTGTGGTAGAAAACACCCGAAGAAGATAATGGTGGAGTTAACGCAGGGAGGTGTCAACTGCATGTTCCTTAAGAACAGATTCCTCAGGGGATATTGGGTGTTGGTCGTAGCACATCAGTGAGATGTGTGTGCACTCTTCCTCTGGGAATGTCTGGAAAGGTTCCACAGCCCATGGAGCTGCAGTGAGGTTGTCTTTGCTACCGACATAGGAAGGGGATGTGGCTGAAGGATGTTCACAACCCACCTTCCTCGGTGTTCTGCCATCCCTGAGCTCATCCAGCTTCCTTCCAAGCACAGATCCTTTTTTTTTTTTTTGCAGAGTGAAAGGGTCCAGCATAACCTTAGATACACACCTGGGGCAAGCTTGGAATAAATGTAGCCCTCAAACTGAGAGTTGGGGGCAAAAGCCTCCAATAATATGTGGGGTTTGTAATACAGTGTCTGCTAATGGGGGTAGTGAATTTATCATTTTTGTGTCTTTACTGCCTTTTCTGTGACTTGGGTTGCTGGTTTTTGTGAACTCCCTTGGTGTGTGGAGTCCAGTGGCCATGACGCATTGACCATTGATTGAGCCATCAAGGCCAGAAGTGGCTTCTCACTTGGTGTCAGTCCCCAGAAAAAAACGACCAAACCTGCTGCTTTCTTTATTTCAAGCAATTTGTCAAGGAGCAGAATCAGTTTTAGGGCTGCCCTTGCCATTAGTCCTAACAGGGAATGCAGGTATTAGTCGTGGAAGAATTAAGTGGTGCTCAGGAGAGGGACTGGGACAGAAGGTGACACGTGAACTACTTGTTGTAAAGGCAGTTCCTGCTTCTCCAACCCACCAGGATTGTCCTCAGCCCTGGGCTGCAGCTCTTCACACGTAGATTAGGGCCCCCAGGGTGCCTCAGGAGAGCTGGGCTGTGCTCCCACTGGCAAGGGTTTGTTCTGGTGTCCTCTGGATGAGCCATCCCAGCAGGAAGAGGCTTTCCTTGGAAGCTCCTCACCCCCATCCCTAAGCCCAGCTGCTCTTAATTGAACTCTTGGCTCAGCCACCGTCTTCAAATTATGCAGAAGTGTTACCTCTTAACATTGAAGTGCTAATGAATTACACCAGTGACTTGCTGGTTATGGGCTTAAACAGTCCATGGTATCGATTAAGAGCAGTAATTGTGTTTATCGATGTTAAAGCTCAGCTTCAGCTCCCTGCTCTGCTGACAAAAACCTGGGATTTGTTCCTTTTTCCTTCCTCAGAAATTCATTTAACGCCCTGGCTTTGTAGCTGGTGTTTTAGAGGAAAGATTTACAAGCAGATGATGAGAGTTGCTAAATTTGTTCCTGTCTTGGTCTTTGATCCTTCCTGACTTATTAAAATGTCTCATTTCTTTGTTGCTAAGAGACTTCTGTTTTCTTTTTCTGCAGGTAACTCTGACAGAAGAGGTAAGAATTTTATATTTCATCACTCTTTAGTCAGCGAAAACATTTCCAGAAGTGTTCTGATATTAGAGAGCTCTCCTTAGGACTTCCTTTACAAAGCCCCTCAAGCTCTTTAAAAGAGCTGGTGACACACTGATACCCTAATTTCTTGCGGGCTTCTCTTTTTTAGAACCGAACAAATCCCATTCCAATTTGTACATGTCCTGTTAGACACAAATTGTTCCTGCTGAGTGCTCTGGAAATGTCAGCACGTCCCTGGAGTTGGATGACCAAAGCCTAAGAAGCCATTCAGGAAATTTCCTTTTGTTTTTGTTTTTGGGGCGGTTGTGTTTTTTGCTTCTGAATTGTCTTTATTGACTGTGACTTTTTACCCTATTTGATCCAAACCCGTCCTGCAGATGATGGGAATAATAATTATTATTCTCCTTCGTTCTGTTGGCAAGCAGCAGCACAAATCCATTTCTTGTAACAGAGCAGCACTTAGGGACCTTTTCCCATCTCTCAGCTCCGAGACCTGGCATCTCCACCGGAATATTTGCAATTACTCATGGTTTTAGCACTCCAGGAGCGGGCAGAGCAGAGGTGCAGCAGGGCTGGCTGCTTCCTATAAGAACGAGCTGCCCTCTGTGTGTTTTCATCGTGGCTCTGGTGGGTGTTTTAGCTTTGTGAACTCCCTGGCAATTCCTGTCGTGCTGCTCGCTGTGCCAGGCTCACCCCATCCTGCTGATGTCCAGAGGAACAGGCAGATGCTCTGCAGCAGTTACTGTCAGAACACATTTAGCAGAGGAAATAAAAGGGATGCAGATCCGAGAGAATTCATTTAAAATGATGGCTAAGCTGCTGCAGAAAGGCTCAGTGTAATTCCCTTGGATCTGGCAGGGTTTAGGTCTGATTTTTTGCTCTCTCTGCTGTTGTTCATCCCTGTTCCTGAGAGCAAAGAAACAAACAAAAAAGGGAATAAATCTGACTTCCTAACAACATTTATTTATATTAATATGGCTAATATGAAGAAGGGACTTTTTATGAGAGCATGGAGGGACAGGACAAGGGGGAATGGCTTCAAACTGCCAGAAGTCAGGGTTAGATGGGATACTGGGAAGGAACTGTTGGCTGTGAGGGTGGGCAGGCCCTGGCACAGGTTGGCCAGAGAAGCTGTGGCTGCCCCTGGATTCCTGGAAGTGTCCCAGGCCAGGTTGGAGCAACCTGGGCTATGGAAAATGTCCCTGCCCAAGGCAGGGGGCTGGAATGAGATGGTCTTTGAGGTCCTTTCCAGTCCAAACCATTCCATGGTTCTCTGGTTCTGTGGGCAGGTGTTGGCAGCCGTGAGCAGGAACAGGCTGCTCATCCCTGTCCCCCTCTGGTGTGCAGCCACTCCTGGGTCTGTGTGACATTTAGGGACAGATGTGCTATAGAGCACATCTGCCTCCAGCTGGGCCATGATCTCTAGCTTCTAATCATCAGAAGATGCTTTACTGCCTCCTCAGAGGTGCCAGGACAAGATTGAAACATCCTGATGCCTTCCAGGCTCCCAGCACTGCAGGTCTGTGGAAGCAGAGGGTTGAGTCCTTGTCCCTTTTCCAAGAGAACTGCCAGCATGAAACCCCCAAGGCCGAGGCTGGAGGAGGACAGAAGCTGTGGAAAGGTTGGCAGTGCTCCCCAGGGCTGGCTGGGGAAGGAGGGAGCAGCTGGGGACCCTCCAGGTTGTTTCCTTCCCCGGGCTGTGCTGGGTGGGCCTGGCAGCTCTCCGGCCGTTGGTGACCGCGGTGGGAAAGCTCCAGCTCCTCCCATCCCGCCAGATGTGTCGAAAGAACGGCTGCAAATCAAACTCCCGACACTTCAGGCTCCCTGCATCCTGTACCAGAGCCCCCCCTTGCCCATAAATCACCTCTCCTGCCAACCACCAGCCCGGCTCAGCACCGGTTAGGCTGAGCTTAACTCCAGCCAAGGCAGGAAAAGTGGTCCAACGGTGTGTAGCGTGGGCATAACCCCACAGGATTTGGGAAGGCAGCTCTCCTTCCACTCCTGCAGCCAGGGTGGAGGTGATGGTTGTGGTCAGATGTCTCAAGGAGGAGCTCCTTTATGGGAGGGGCCAGGACTGGCTGCGGTTGCTTTGCCTTCCTGGTCTTGCTTTTGGGAAGCCTCAAGGTGAGGAATGCCAAGGCTCAAGCACCTATTAAGTTTGCAGGAGGCAGAATTCCCAGTAAATTCCTTGACTTTTTGCAGCTGGGCCGGGGGAGTGGCGTTAGGACAGCAGATGGAAAGAACAAAGAGATGCAAAACCAGCATAATTTAAATTTTTTGTTTGCCATGCCAGGTCACTGCCTTCAAATCTTTACACAAAAATCGAATCTTTTGGTCAGGAGAACATTCCCAGACCTCTCACCACAGAGGGACGAATGCAGAAATACAACCAGAGTTTCCCTTGGTAGCTCAGAGATGGACAAAATAAATCCCACCTAAAAACATCTGCTGAGAAACATGGGGGAGAAATCTGCCCTGGCAGGGAAATGGATGCACAGAAAGTGGAGAGGGGAGATCATGCCCTGCAGGCTTGGGGGGCCAAGGCATGTAGATGTGCTGCAGTGGCATGGAAAGGGAAAACAACCTCAGCTGGCATTGCTGGCATCCACATTTATCTGAAAAAAAAACACCTCCCTTCAGGGCCATTCTTCTCTCTGGTTGGCATCGCTTGGCTTCTGATCCATCTGGGTGATTTGCTCCACTGTTCCACTGACCTCCAGGACAAGTTACAAATGGCTCCTTTTAAAAGAAAAAAAAAAGTCTGTTGTGGGTCCTGGAGGATGGGGATGTTTCAGACGTGGCTAATCCAAGGTGTGTGTGCAGGGGAATTGTGTGGAGCCCTCCCTTGAGGAACCAAATGAAATCCCACTCGGTGGCCTTGCAGTGCAGGGCACAGTGGGGGTGTCTGACACCTCCTGCTCTCCAAACTCAGTGTTTCCAGGAAGCAAAGAGTAAGGAGTTGGACTAGATGGTATTTGGAGGTCCCTTCCAACCCAGATTATTCTATGATCACAGAATCTTGGATTGGAAGGGACCTTAAAAACCATCCAGTTCCACCCCTGCCTTGGGCAGGGACATCTTCCACCAGCACAGGTTGCTCCAAGCCCCATCCAACCTGTCCTGGGACACTTCCAGGGATCCAGGGGCAGCCACAGCTTCTCTGGGCAGCCTGGTCCAGACCAAACCTCAGCCCTGAAGGTTGTTCAGGTCCCAGGTTCAGGGGGAAGCTGTGTCCTGTTTGAAGAGGAACTGGAAACAAAATCATAGTGGTTTTCCCAATGCAGTGCCTGTGGGATCTTACAAAGGCCACAGTTTTCACCTGTGTTATTACAAAGTTCTTTATCGTGTTATGCCAAACTCGTGGACCTTTTAGGATCTCCTGTGGATCCTTAAGTCTCAGGCAGAAGACTCTGTGGATCCCCAGGGGACAGAGGAAACTTCTACCAGTTTCTGACCTGGGAGCACCCACTCAGGTCCCGTTGCTGCCTTTACTCTCAGACTGAAGAAACATAGCATCACTCAATACTATTTATTATTTTTGTTATTAGTATTATCCTTGTTTTTCAAGCACAAATTGTAGAAGTCAGCCCTGTTAAATGGTGGCTCTGGGTTGTTTTTCAATGTGCATAACCACACCTTTCGTTTCCTCTTGCAGATGAGACTCCAATTATAGCTGTGATGGTGGCCCTGTCTTCCCTTCTAGTCATAGTATTTATTATTATTGTGCTGTACATGTTGAGGTAAGAGCTGCTTTAATGCTGAATCCCCTCTTTTTTTTTTTTGGCAGAAACGATTCCTGAATGAACAGGAATGAGCCTTTTGTGCTGTTCCCCAAGCTAAAGGCTGACACAGCTGGTGCTTTTGAAAAGAAACTTGTAAGGACAGTGAATGAAAGTTGTGTTTGGGGTCATCTAGGCAGTCTTGCTCATTCCTTTCTCTACAAAGCTGCTCCTCATGTGGGGAATTCTTGTTCTGCTACTCAAAATACCATATTTGGGGTAGATTAAAAGTCCTATCAGCGCAGGTAGAAGCAGATAAGGTTTCCTTGTGAGCCAAAGGGTGGTGGATTGGGTAATGCAAGGAGTATGAACGTGGCACTCGAGCCAGAAAGCCCTTTGCATGTGTTATTCCTTGATTCCCATCTTGATGTCAAACAGGATCCAGCATCCAGAGCCAAGCTCTGCCTTGGGTACCAAACCTACACATCATGTCTGTGTATCTTCCAGTGCAAGGCAGTGCATGGCTAGAGCTTATGAGGAGTCTTAGGTGGTGCTGTAACTGGAATTATGGCATAAAAAAAGCCTTCTTAGGTCCATTTTTAAAAATCCAAGCGTCTGGCTTGCTGAAAATGCAGCATTCCCAGCTCCTGGGAGTTAGAAGAGGGTGTTTATTCACCTCCAGTAAACATTTTAATTTACTCACCAGTTTGGTGATTAAATAAGTCCAAAAAAAAAAAACAAACAAACAAAAAAAAAAAAAAAAAAAAAAAAAAAAAAAAAAAAAAAAAAAAAAAAAAAAAAAAAAAAAAAAAAAA